CATCTCACTGACAAGAAAAGTACGAATAAACGTCGTAAAACTGCTGACAATAAATAAGCGAGTAAAGTTTTATTTATAAAGCGGCTTTCACAGAAATATACTCACAAGGTGCTGTACAAACATTAAGAATGTAAAATGGTGGAAAAATAAAATGAAACAGAATAAAACATAAGAACATAATAAAACATCAAATCAAGATTAAATTCTAAAAATTGTAACTCAGGCACACGGTCAACACAGAGCAAAATATACAAATAATACACAAAACCTAGAGAATGGGGGAGAGAAAAATCTGCCATATGTTCAACAATAGAAAAACACACAGTTGGCGAGTATTCACTGTGAAGGTGGGCTGGCATTAATGGTGAACGGTTAGCTAAACGCTTGTGTAAAAAAGTGGGTTTTTAGGTGTTTCTTGAATAATCAGAAAAGTACTTTTACACTGTAAGAAATAAAGTGTTGAAATTGCTTAAACTGGTTGAGTTAAACTGAGTTGAGAAATGACATTTACTGACCTCGGTTTAGTTGGACTGTGAGTTGGTAAATTAAATAAAGTAAATTCAACTCTTCATTTTTAGAGTGTGGAAACCGCTGCTTTCATGGTGAGTTCTGGTCAGTTTTATTTTAAAAGAAGTGAAAATATCTTTCTAAAATCTTTAAACACTTAAACTTATATATATATATATATATATATGGCACACTATCAGCATGGTTAGTTACAGATCTTTCTGGTGTTTTTTTTCTTTTCTTTTTTTGTCTTTTCATTCCACAAACAGAACAAAGTTTGGGTTTTCTGTGTGTAAATACGATCAAAGGACTTCTACTCTGTTTTGGACTGAAAGGAACTTATTGGTCAGGCTATTAGTCTCAAAGAAATAAAACAAAATAAATCAAAAGTTATCATTTTTCATTTAGTGCATAAAATCAGAAATCACATATCAGTTCAGTATCCATATTTTCAGTTTTGTTCAGTAATTAGAAACTGAAAAAAAAAAAACATTTCAAACGAAAAGCAGATTAAATGTAAAAAAACTTTAATTCTCTGCTCGGAGGTGTGCCGCTCTGGTCAGGGCTGCTCTGGATCTGGGTCCAACAGGTTTACAGTCAAACTGAACACCTGGTTGGGCTTTGCACCCCCCCCCATAAATATCTTGCACAGCCAGAGGCCGTAAACCTGCAGGAGGGGGCTTCTGCACCCAGCAGGGTCCCTAAGAAAACAGCATTTGGTTCTTTCTGGCTCTGCGAGCCGTTTGTCTCCATAAAGATGGAGTTAAAGCTGCTGGAAATGAGCGGCTGCTTTAAAGCAGAGCCCAGGTGAAAATCACCTCATTCTTTGATTTGTGTGACTTCACGTCCTGTTTAATCATTCAGAGCAGTTTTCARCTATTCAATATTTAATGTTGTGTTGTTACAACTTATTATGTAAAAAAATAAAGTTACTTTTCTTAGTGCATTTAGTAAAATATTGATTTATTTGACTGAAAAAAATCTAAAAAGAGCTTTTAACAAAGAAAAAAAATTTCAACCCTAAAACTGAAAACATTAAATGTAGATTAAATTATGTCTGAAAACCTTGAACCTGCTGTTTTACTATTTTTTTTGTCAATTTTCACGTCAATAATTCTGTTTTATTTGATTAAATCACCTTTTTACATTTTATAACACAACATAAAGAGACTTTAAATGAAAAAGAAACTCAACAATAAACAGTTCTGTGAGAGAAAACACAATAAATAACTTTCATTATGTGTTTTTATAAACCACATAAAAACAGGTAGTTGATAAAAAATAAGAAATCATGATAAATACAATTTTTATGAATATGAACTTTGCTTTTTGTGCTTTTTTAGAAATAAAAAACACAAAACAGTGTTTTGTGTATATTAATTAACGAAGCTATAATTATATACGTAGGTGTGGATGTGTATATGTGTGTGTATATATGTGGGTGTGGGTATTTGTACATACATATGTTTATGTTTGGTGTTTGTTCTCTTCATTTGCTGATGGTCAGATGTTGTGTGTGTTGTCCTGTGTTATTAGTGTTTATTTCACATGTTGTATAATTTCTATCGGTTTCTCTTTACAGTTCCTATATTTCTCTTCTACTTTTTCTTTCTTCTTTACTATAATAACAAAAAATAAATAAATTAACATTCTGTTTGCATCAAGCAGTTGCAATGAACYGAACACTGACAATAATCAGATTAATAAGGAAACCTGTGCAACATGTTGCTCCTGATGCTGAAAGCAGGTTCGATCTGATAAAAGCTGCATTTATTGGTCAAACCTTGGATTTCTGTCCGAATTGGATTATGGGATTTTTGGTTTGCACTACTTTATGATGTCATCAGAAGCCGAGCCCCTGATGCCTGCGGGACATTTCCCCCCCAACTGACACACGCTCCTCCGCCGGCTTGTCAAGTGGAAAGCGAACGGCTGTTTTTGGGCAAAGCCGGGGCTGATGCGGTGGTCAGACATGTTGCACGCACTCGGTGGGAGATCGTGTTACGGCTTAACGACAGGAAAATGTCAACGGAGAAGAATGTGAGGAGTGGGCTCAGAGGAAAGTGAATTTACCAGACGTGGTCTGGCATGTTTTCAGGGTAGTGAGTGGAGGTTACAATAAGGTAAAATAAGGGGGGGGGGGGTCCTCCCACGTCTCTTCCTTTTCAGTTTGACTGTCTGCTGCACAGACTAGTGATGCTGCCAGTTTTCTGTCCGATACTGATACCAAGTAAAATTTGGCTGGTTTCAGTGATGCTGATCCGATACTGAGTCTTTGTGATAACTCACATAATGTGTCAGTTAAATCTTTAAAAAGTACCACTTTATAAATAATACATGACATAGTAAAGTCTTTCTAACGTTATATTTGTTTAGCACAATTTAATATTCTTATCCTTAAGAAATATAATAATTTTTGAATAGTGAATAAAAGTGAGAAAAAATACTTTAGAAGTTGTTACTTTGTATATTTTGTAGCATTGTTTGTGGGTTTGCAAGAAGGTATCTGGCCAGAGCTAATGCTGTTTGGGGGGGGCCGTAGCATGAAACATTTTGGGAACTCCTCATCTAGAATTTAATTAGACAGTCATAAGAAGCAAATTTTATGTTAAAATGACCTGCCGTACATGTTACAGACTGAGTGACTGACGGAGCACGTGCCACTGTATTACTCAAGAGGAAGAAAAAGTAGTTCCCTCCACATGTTTAAGACAAGATTGGAATAGTTTAGTTATTTTCCACCATTTTCCTGTTAATGATAAACATTATGTGAAATAACTAAAGTATCAAAGTATCGATATTTTGATTTTAGTATCGATTCTAGAACACAAAGTTCTGGTACTGGTAGTATCTATATTTCAGTATCGATCTGCACATCACTAACACAGACCGCTCACATTTCATACAATCAGACTTGGTTTAAGCTGGTTGCTTCTGCGTTAAAAAAAACACTGAAAAACTTTGATTCTAACAAATAAAATCATCCGTTTTTGGCTCGCTGATGGAAAAAAGTAGACTCTTTTACAAGTTTGTCGCGGCCGTCCGCTCCTTCCGCCTCTAATTTGTAAAAGTGAAATCAGATTGGAGGAAAACATGGCTAAAAAAAATCCACTCGTTCTGCTTGATTCGTGCCTGAAAGCATCAGGCGATAACTGAGGATTGACTCTGACATCTGTGATGAATCCAGCGCTGGAACACCTGTGATGTCTTAAAACATTTCCCTTCTGACACTCGGCGTCGTTCTTCGGCGGAGCCTCAGTAGCGCGAAACGATCCTTTATTTCCAGCGGAAACAGACACATAATGAAACGTTCAAAACCCCTCATGAATCATCCGACAGGTTTCTGAAAGCTCTGGAACAATAAGAGGATGCCACTTCTGCTCAAAGAGCATTTCCAACACAAACGTCTGGTCAGCTTCTCACCTTTCACACAACAATCTGGACAAAAACAAAACAAAAAAATGCTGCAGTAAAACCCAGTTTGGTGAGGAAATGCCAGGAATGTGTGTCTGTTCCAGATGGGATGGAGGGCAATGAAAAAAAAAAAACTGGTGATCTTTGACACAATATTTTAAATCTGACATGAAAGTTTGAACAGGATGTGGATTATAGCTGCTTATCCTGAACTACTGTGTATCAAATGGTGCCGATTAAAGAGCAGCAGTTTTCCAGGATGCAGGTACGCAGTCGACGTAAACAGTTTTTTTTCCTGTGTGCATCAGTTCATAGTTAGACATTCTCACTGTTGACCTGTTTTCAGTCATTTTGTCTGTTTTTGTAAGTTTAAATGATATTTTGTTAAGAATTTTTGATTTAAAGGACACACAAAGCTTAGATTTGAAGATTTTGTTTCTTCRTGAAGATTTGATCAGGTTTTGTGACGTTTAGTTTCCTACTTTAATGGACCACTTTCATGTATATTTTCTTATTTTCCTCCAAACATTTCCAGCCTCAGACTCACAACAGTTTGTATAAAAAGAAACAGAATTAGTAATTTTRTTGTTGGACGTCTGGAACGCTCTCTCTCTCTCTCACCTGTGACGTCTCTCCTCCTCTTGTTGGAGCTCTTCTTGTCGGAGTCGGCCGACGCCACGCTCTGGGGCGAGTATTCCCCCTCCAGGCACCTGGGACCGCCGCCGCCGCCGCCCGCCACCCTGTCGGCGCCCGCAGCCTCCAGCTCGGGACCGCCGCTCCCTCCGGGGGCCACCACGGCGGGAGCGAGGGGCGGGCAGGCCTCGGGCGCTCTCGCCCGAGTCTCGCAGGGGTTGAACTGCCAGTCGGCTCGCTGGTAGCCCCCCTGGCTGTCCGGGTACAGTCTTTCGTCACGAGGGTAGGTGGCGTGGGGCGCGCTGGGCACCAGGCAGGACCCGGAGAAGTCCGTGTAGGCCAGGAACTCGGGCTTCTGGTGGAGGGAGAACGGGGCCTGCTGGTACTGCAGGTTGGCTCCCGGGACGCCGGCGTGAGGGTTCCTCATGCAGCCCCAGATGGGGCCGCCGGGGTGGGCGCTCCGCATGCAGCTGCTGGCTGGCTGGTCCATGGAGAGGCCGCACGTCTTATTGCAACAAGTTCTTGAAGAGTTCGAAGCCTCCTCAGAAAGCGAGTCACTTGGGCTGACTGAAACTAAACGGTGGACGCTCTGGTTGCATCAGGAATCCTCACTTGTGTCAGAGGCGGCTCACTCGTCCACGGCACAGTGTGAGGACGGACGCCTTTCTGTGACAGCTCCCCTCTGCTGGAGTGTGAGTGACGTCCTCTGATCAAAACACACACACACTCTCTCTCTCTCTCTCTCTCACACACACACACACTGTCAGACCTGCTCGGTGTGAGAGCTGCATCCACATCTGCGTGACTCTTTCTCAGCTCTGGCACTTTTCACTACTCAGAGGCATTCTTGACAAGCGAGCCCGCCTCCTTTTTTAAAAAACCTATAGGTGGGAAAATAAAAAAAGAAAGAAAGGAAAGTGGTGAGTTTATGGAGGGGAAACGTGAGCCTGCGGAGGAGGAGCCAGCCCATCCACATGTTGGTACTACCCTCCAAACAACCCTTCCTCATCAACTATTAATCACGGGGGAAATTTTATATGCACATCTAATGGGCTTTCCAGACGAGGGGCTTTTTAAAGGGACATTGTCTGAAATGTACAAAGCACCCACCCACATGGGAGAGATGCTTTTTCTTTTTTTTTTCTTTTTTAGCTCCTTAGTGTTTTCTGACACCCAATTTAGTTTTTTTCTTTGACACCTTTTAAAGGAAAGTTAACCCTTTCCTTGCAGCTCTGATCCCTGTCTGTTCTCGTTTAACTGAAAAAAAAAATCGTTTCCCCCCCGACTTTATGACGGCACCTGTGTGAGTGAACACGTTCACACTCTGACACACCTGGCTGGACTTTCTGTCGCTTCAAAGCAAAAGAACTGGATCTGATGCGGGTTATGTAACCGCTCACACTTCAGGGGGTTTCTGGCAAGAACACAAACTAAAACCAAACCATTCTTCTTAAATATGGGATCGTGTTTTCTCTAAAGCATCCTTCACACTGTGAGTAAATTTTATTCGTGTATCACTTTTCAAAGTGCTTTAAGGCGCCAAACTAAAACATGAACGTTAATAAAAGTTAATGACTAATAACTAAAACTCTGTCTTAAGTTGCTTCTTAAAGAAGCCTCATGGAGACATAGGGACTGGGGGGTTCCAAAATAGGGGCTTGAGTCTTAAACTTGGTTTTAGGAGTATTCAGGAGATTTTGATCTGAAGACTGCAGATTGCAGCCAGAAAAAATAAATAAATAAAAAGAACTCTAAAAGTCAAAACTACCGTATTTATTTGTGTATAATACGACCCCCCCTTTTTTGAGCTTAAAAAGTATAAAAAAATTTAATCCTCAAACTACCTCCAATTTCGTACAGACTTCAAGATTTTTCATCCTTTGCAGTCTTTATTCATATCAGTAAAATGATCTTTGGACTGTTCATTTTATTTTAACAACATATGTACTAAAAGGTATTTTGACAACAAATATATATCAGCTGTAGCAGCATYATATGAATTCTGGTATTTTACACATAGTCCACCAGGAGGCGCCAACACAAAATGTCAGAGACTTCACATGAGATTTGGGCCATCTTGTGGGGGAAAAGCAGATTACTTCTTGCTCGCGAGCGCGACCCTCTGGTGGGGAAACGATTTTTCAGTGATACAAACTTTTTCAGAACACCGGTAGATGACAGCCATTACAGACGAGGAGCGGCCCGGTCACACACTAATGTCATTAGTTTTTTTGTCATTATGAAGGTGCAGGAATCCCCCCCCCCCTTTTTTTCACATCATGTCGCCTGCCTGGATCTGTTATTATCTGGCTCTGAAGCACGGAGGAGTGTCAGAGGTAAGCTCATCAGTGTGCATTGGCAATGCACACTATTGTGATT